ATAAGATTTATTGCAACTTTGAGCATATTATACATTAAATATCTTAAAATCAAATAATACCACACATCAGTGGCGACTGGTGGATTTTGGGTATACCGATATCTCAATTATTAGATATGGGACCCACACCAAATTTATATGAGTTTAAAATGACATTAAATAAACAAGTTCTGCGCAAGCAGAATTTAAATTTAAGTTTGCGAAAAGAAGATAACCGAAACATCGAACATGGAACTGACGACACGGTACTGATAAATGGGATACAAATTTGAGATTATAATTCGGAATTAAGTATTTTACTGATATTTTTTATTAGTGGAAGCTACTTATCAACAAATCACATATAGCCTTATATAAATTAAAATGAAATATATATACGTAAGAAAATAATTACTCACCACAGTACTGAAATTTTGACTGGAACTATACGTGCATTCACAACAACTTCGCCGCTTGCATTGTTTTCAAGATGACTGTCGTGCAGAGGGCGGGCTCTGTAGGTAATTTTTTACCAACATTTGAGTTAAAACGAGGACTTGACGTTTAAACTTCAATATTTCGGAAGAATTTTGAATTTTAACATTGGACACAGAACTGATGGGTAAAAGTGAGTACAAAGATAATCAATTTTTTAAAAATTGCTATTTTTCGAAACTATGATAAAATATGAAGAATACATTATTTAATGTTTTATAGTTTGTAGTGAAATTGAAAAATGTAAGATAAATTGAATATATTTTAAAATAAAATCACTCAAATATTTGATTCAGGAGTTGTGATGCGCCAAGGTACTGACGTTTTGAATATTTATTATGTTTTTCTACAAACGTGCTTTTGAAAAAATACATTAAAATTGGGTGGACAAGTTAAAAAAAATGGATCTTTTGTAATATACTAAAATATTTACAAAAAATATTAAAATACCTACTCCATTGACTAATGACATAAAGTTGTCCAACTTTTGTAGAATCACCCATATATAACGTTAATTTTTTAGAAGAAGAAATTTTTTTTTAAATACAAACAGTATAAAAATCGTAATAACAAACACCGTTAAATTGCAGCAAATATTGGCTAGCAAACATTGTTCATGCAGGCTTCGCTTTTAATTTAGCAGCAAATCTTGTTGGAAATAATTTCCCAGTCAGCCAGTGCCAGAGTTCGTAAATGTTTACATGACATTTAACATCCCTTTTTAGTACGTTGAACGAAACCGTGCCCCATAAAGGCGGCTGCACTGGGGCGCAGCGCCCCCTTTTAATAATGTCATAAAACTGAACTAATAACATTTAAATTTGTTACGAGTTTCTTTATTAAATTAACTGCATTTCGTCAATAAAGTTTTCCACTTTAATTTAAGGTTAATTTTACTTTTAACATTAACTTATAAAAACTTAAATTTTGTACGCCAGAAATCATTAATTCTAAAACTGTCTACATTGTTTTAGAACTGTCTAAAATCTCGAATTGCTATCTTAAAATGTCATTTTTTTTACTAATTGTAACACTGTTATAAAAATCAGATTTGTTAACATGAGTTTGCAGTTTGTTAATTTATTTTGTAAAATTGTAACATATTTTTTTGTAGAAAACCAGGGTTTGTAATTATTTTAACAAAGGAAAATATTTTACCGAAAGTTTTGTAAAGGAAATATGCAATTTTGCAGTAATTTCAGAGGAATATCAATACTCGATGTTACTTACAAAGTGTTAGATACTAAAAATGAATTAGTCAAAAATGATTAATTTAATAGTTAGTTAGTGGCTGCTTTTTCACTTGTACCATGGTTAACCATGGAATACCATGGTATCCCAAAATTTAACAGTCAATTCTTATGTAAAATTGTCCCCTGAATCCGAAAATCAAAAGTTAAAAAAGTGGAACAGTTTTTGAGATATAGTCAATTTTCCATTTAATATGGAATTGACTATACCTCAAAAACTGCTCCACTTTTATAATTTTGTCGCTATTTGAAATGAATTAGTCATTTTTGACTAATTCATTTTTTACAAAGTAGTGCAATAAAGCAAAAGCTCATACCTTATGCAGAGAAAATTCTAGGGAATATCAAGGTGGTTTTAGAAAAAATAGAGGCACAAATGACCAAATTTTCACTAGTAATACCACTAGAGGTCAAATTATTTCCGGAAATTTTTTCGAGCTCATGAATATTTTAAAAATTATCCCGAGTCGAAAACGAGGGATAATTTTCTAAAAATATTCATGAGGGAGAAAAAATTTCCGGATTTAATTTGACCTCGTGTGGTATTCGGTAAGAAAATTCTACACCAAATTGTGTTTAAATAATTCAAATTTATTTTTTGATTTAACTTGACCTCGACTTGATTATTTAGTTACCATGGCAACTAAGTCAACCCCAACCTAAAAGTTATTTCAGTTTTGAAGCTGTCAAGCGGCACGACGTAAAAAAATGTGAAATTGTCTGCTGTAATGATCAATCATCGTGCAATGACTTATTTACCCGCATTATTAGAGGATTGTGGCTCCTACTTGAAGAAAGAAAATTTGTTTTGAATTGTTCACGAATATTTGCATCTTAACTATTCAAAACTCAAAGTGCTAAATGGAAAAAAAGGTGAATAGAATGGTGTCTTAATATTATATATATTTCATTAGACATAGACATTTAATTTATTTCAAGTCCTGCATTTTCGACATTAAGAAGAAAGGAGGTGTCCAACGAATATAGAAAACATCTAAACTTTGTAATGGAAATGTATCAAAATTATCATGTAAACAAATAAAAACCAGATTGTCAAAAAAATATTCTGTCATTATAAACGTCAAAAAATTTCCAGTATAATTCGCTGTTGGGTACCCACGAGGAAAAAATTTCCACTAAAATTCAACCGTTGCCATGGTGATCTATCAAAAATACACGTTTTGATTGGTTAAAAATTACAGGTGTGGAATTTTCACTTATAATACCACAAGAGCTTCAAAATTATCGGGTATTTTTCCCGATAGGTTCGTTGCAAACAAATGAAGGAGTCAAGTTTTTCAGGTTTTTCCTTCATTTTCAGATGGCACGAACTAAGGGAGAACTTCAGAGGATAGCAGCGGATCTTATAAACATGGCAGAGAAAATGGGACTTAGGGTAAACTAACTACGAAAAGAGTAAATATATGTAAATAGAAACAGAAAAGAACCCGCAAGGGATGGAAACACTAATGGTACAAACAATTAACGATGAAAATATTAATTTGTATGTATCTAGGAGTTCTAATAAACAACAAAGGCGACGAAGAAGATGAAATAAACCTAGGAATAGCAAAAGCAAATAGATGTGCATAAAGTTGAAATAAAATTCAAAAATCAAAAGAATTATCCCCAAAAGTAAAAATAAGAATGTATAAAACCATTATAAGACCTACTGTATTATATATGCATGCGAAACATGGGTATTAAATAGGAGCAATCAAATTAAACTGGAGATATGGGAAAACAAATTCCACGCAGAATATTTGAAGGAAAAAAACTCGAAGAGGGGTGGATAAGGCGAACAAAGGCAGACATTTTTGACATTTATAAGAAACCCATAATAATTAAAGTGGTTAAATCAAGAAGGATGCACTGGCTAGGGCACTTGGAAAGAATGGATAACCACAGGTTACTCAAAGGTATTGGAAGACCAAGAAAAAAATGGATGAAAGAAGTATTAAAGGACCTAAAAGAAAATAAAATTGTCAGATGGAAAACAAAGGCGAAGGATAGAAAAAAGTGCAAGGAGATAACTAAGCTATGGGCCTGAATGGCCTATCAAAAATCAACTATTTTTTTTGTAAAGTAAACCGTTCGTCATAAAAATTGACGCACCTAGTTTTTTGGAAAGTAATTGAAAGCTCGTTATTGGGAAATTACTGAATCGATTTTGAAAATCTTTGGAAATTCTGAATAGCTGATTCTTGGACTCTTATGTCTAATTTTGGGAATATGATATTTTGCTCATAGCATTATACTACAGGGTGTTAAACGAGGAGATGTATTTTTTTCGAATTCGTAATACCCTAATATCTAATATAATATAAGTAAGGTAATTCCTCGAAACGTTTTCGAGATTTTGTGAATATCGCGGCTTACTACGATTACATGCCAATTTTTCGAAAATTGTCGTTATTTCCCAGTTTGTTCCAAAAAATGAGCAATAGTGGATTCTTAAACTTACGTCTAATTTTGAGAATACGATATTGTGCACATAGCATTATCTACAGGGTGTTAAAAAAAGAGATATTTTTTCCAAAATTTCAAATCCCCATTCACAGGGCAGTTGAGCTTGATGGTCGTAATACCCCTTCCTAATAACAGTTAGGTAATCCCTCGGGACAATTTCCAGATTTTGTGGATATCTTGGCTACGATTATGTGTCAATTTTTAGAAAATTGTCATTTTTTAATTTTTGTCCAAAAAATCCAAAAAATAATTTACTATACAGGTTATATTAGTTTTTTGAAAAATTGTTGCAAATGGAAATACGACCATTTGAAAAATCACTCCTCAACTGAGATATAGGTGTACCCAAAATCCACAATCCGCCACTGATAAAATCTGGTTAATATTTGGTTAAAATTAACAAATATATTTTTACTGTGTAGGTACTGTAAAATTAGTCAATACCTTAACATAACATTATCGTCAATGCAGAATGTTTATAATTATAATTATAATTAGATCAATATTTGCAAAGTAAACATAAAAATATCCAAAACCTATAAATTACATTTCACATTCATTTATTACCACATGCAATGCATGTTTACCCAGCTAATGGACCCATTAGAACAAAAAAGCATATACATCCATGTAATAAACGTGTGACGGAAGGATGTGCTGCAAAAAGACCACGACAACAGTCAACGAAAAGCTGAACGTCGTAGACGGCTCGCCATTTAAATGTCAAGAGCGGCGCATTTTTTCGCGGGGAGAATCCAAAACGCAGTCACACAAACATTACGTGAAATCGTAAGATCTACGGTGGCTTGGAGTCGCGCAAGTCGATCGCGTGCCGTCGCGGCACTCTTTGTTTAATCCGCGCACAAAAGCGTATGTACCCACGTCGTGCAGTGCGATCTGCGTTTTTTACCGTGTTTGTGATCGCAACAGCGTGGTAAACGCTCTCGAGAGGTGTTCTTCGAGTGTGCTTAGGTTATTAAGAGTACTTGATTGGTGATTGAAGTTGGGTATGGAGTTTAATTTAAACAATTGTTAAGTGTTTGGCGTTTTTGTGTTTTATTATCAAAAAGGTAATTTTTTATTTACTCAGGATTGTAGGAGTTTTAAATAAATAAAATTTTTAATATATTTTTTTACTACAAAATAATAATAATAAAACCTATTATGTTTTATAACTTTTTAATATATTATTACCTAGTCTATTTTCAGAAAATAAATTTTTATTTGAGATTTCAACGCCGGTAGATTTCCAAATTAGAAATTCTAACGGGAATTCCAATAAATTCAACTGTCATTTTTTGTACCTTTAACATTTCCCTTGTAATAATTTTTAATACTTTGTGATAATATTTTGCAATTATAGTAATAAAAAATCAATTGAAGTTATTTAAATATTTTTATCTCCTCCCACCTTTAAAACGCCCTTTATCGTACATGTTTCCATGACACTAAGTGTCCTTTTAAATACACATTGACAAGTTGTGGCTTTACGGCGCTTTAGTCACGGGCTGAAGTTAGCAACAGGTTTTTAGTCACGGGCTGAAGTTAGTTTTAAGTTAGTTGACAGTTAAATGTCATACAATCGTTAAAATAAATTGCCTTTCTTGTAAAATAATACTAAATGTGAACATTATTTTATTATCTCAATACAAAAATAAAAAATTATTAAATAGTTTCTCAACGCCAATATTTGAAAAGTTTATATGAACATTGAACTTAAATTCGGGCACGGACACCACAGTGTTCATAAAACATTTTCCTTACTTTCACTGTGATAAACTGTCAATTTTCAAGAAATACATTTCGATTTATAACCTTTATAATTGTGTTTATAAAATATAAAAATTTGACATTTGACGATGACACACAGATTCCCCTATTGTTTCATAGATGGCGCTCTATACAAATTTTTGATTTAAAGTATTTTAAGATAATATTAAGTATTTGTCGTAGAAAAAATATAGTATGCACCTCGTTTATAAACTTTTCTATACACTCATTAATTTAAGACTTTAAAACAAAAAATGTTTTCAATTCCCGAAATTTAAGTTATGTTACTTGCGATACTTTGGCAAAAAGTCATCGGTATAATAAATCGTTTTTTTTTGGCATTTAGTTTTTGAGTTTTATAGAATATAATATTCATATAAAAAAAAATTGGCAACGCTGTGTTCAATGGTAGCTGTTTTCTTTTTTCTGTGTTTGTTTTTAATTTTAAAAACTTAATGGTTAATACATAATATATTTATTAAAAATTAACAGAAATTAACCAAATAAAAGAAAACAATTGCCACTACTGTGAGATTTTAAAAATAAACGGTCCAAAAAATATGTAAATTATAATACAGTTAAAGGTGTTGAGTAAAAAAGACGGAATATTATTAATACGTTTGTTTGTGAAGCTTTTTTGTTCTTTTTTTACGCAGTAACGGAGCAATGGATCGACGTGATTTTTTGCATTGAAATAGTTTATGGCCCGAAAAGTGACCGGCTAATTTTTTTTAAATGAACGGTTCCTGTGGGATAATTGCACAATACTTAAGGAACGCAAAACATACAAAAACTGAATTTTATTTTATTAATATACTATTTCATTCATATATTTAAAAACTAGTAAAAAAGCTTAAGCTTAAGTTTTTAGAGGGTTGGGAAAAAGTTTAACAAAAATAAATAAATAATTTAATAAAAAGTATGCCTTGTGAAATTCGTCCTTGCTTTGAGGCTAGTTGAAACACTGATTATTAAATTAACAAAAACCTATTATTTCTTCCTAAATTCAAATTTATTGTAAAGAGAAATTCACATTTTTTGTAATTTGTTCTGTAGAAAATTTGTTTTAATAAATTTTTCTTTATTTTTCTAATCAAATTGGTTCAAATAAAGTGCTTTTTATTTCCAAATCACTTTTTTTAATGATTTTTTTAGATTATTTTAATGCTAATTTTAAAATTATTTAAGAAAGTTTTTTCATGATTTCACAAAAATTTTCAATGGTGTTTCTTGTTATAATTTTATAACAGTGAAAATTTGATTGTGCTGAAAAATAAAAAAATACATACAAATTTGAATATTTTAATATTTTGAAAACAGATTCTAACTGAGCAAAATAAAAACATTTTATTTTGTCGACACTTAGTGTTATTCATTAAAATATTTAATCATTTTTATTGGGTGCCAGTAAAAAAAACACCATAAAAAATTTAATCTCGCATTTTTTACGACAACAAACATAATTAAAAACCTCCAATTTTTATTACTTAATATCCAGTTAAAATTAAAATTTATAATGGTAACAAATTAAACTCTTGAAACCATAATTAAAAGTATCTATTAGTAATTAAAACAAAGAGAATTAATATAAAATATATCGCCAGAATTATAAGCATTCACAGATCGAGCGATTCTGCTAAACTGCTGCCTTTTCCCTTCGATCCGTCTTGCGTGATGTTTTCGCAGTTGGACTGGCCTAAGTCAGCGATTATTTGCCGCTGCCATAAATTATTCTTTTACCATGGGTGTTACAAATTAGTCTTTCATTTTCTAACATTAATGCGTTATTTACTTTTACTATAACTACTATTATGGTCGAACCATATGTGAAATAAGTTTTTATAAAGTAAATTCAAAAATTTAAAATTTTAATGAATTACTGTTATTATAGTTTTTTGTGTTTATGTCTTATTCTAATGGTTTAATACAATAATGTTTTCTCTTTTTTATAATTAAGTATGTGATGTGTGTCATCATGCAAAATAGTAATTACAGAGAAATTAATATGTTAATACTATAAAAAATGTGATTTTGCATGCAATAAAATGATTATTGCTACATAACTATTAAAAATATTTTATTTTAAGTACCCACTAAAGAAAATTATTGTAGCATTAAATATACTATGTTATGTATGGAAACCTCGTATTTTATTAGTATACTTAACGATGTCATTATTATAAATATAAATAAACTAAGAATTCAACAAGACCATTAAAATAACAATGGTTCACAGCCAAAATGTCCATTTGATTCCATTATTTTTTTCTTAAGTATTTTAACCTGCTAAATTAAAAAATAGTATATTAAAGAACTAATGTCGTAAGACGTCATTTTGTCGTGTGTAATGGACGAGAGCGACAAAAGGTCTTATGACATGAGTTCTTTATTCTATTTTATCTATTTTGCAAAAATTCTATAAAAAAATAATTTTATACCTTAAATTTAATTGGTCGAATTTTACTTTAGATAGTTGGTATCACAGTCTTTGGTTTGACAGTTAATGTCAAAATCGATTCGCCATACCGTCCTTAATTTACTTATTTACAATGAGCGGCTGTTAATGTTAAAGAAGAAAAAAAGGATTTTCTTTGGTGTAAAACAAAATTTATTGCCAGAAAAGTCTCGTAAGTACTAGAAAAATCATAAAAATATTTTATCTATTTTGGTTTCATAATGACTTCATTATAACACCGCTTTTGGTTCTTTAATGAGGTACTTTATTCCACCCAAAATTTTGATTTTATAGGTTGGCTACTGGTAAAATACAATTTTGAATACCTATAGGTTATATTATTTTTATGATTTGTTTTCTAGTACTTACGAGACTTTTCGTGCAATAAATTTTGTTTAACACCAAAGAAAATCCTTTTTTCTTCTTTAACAGCCGCTTATTGTAAATACTTATTGTAAATTAACAACGCCATAGCGAAAGAATGTGATAATGTTTGAAAGGTTAATGACCTTTCAAACTTCAAACTGTGATACCAACTATGTAAAGTAAAATTCCACCAAATTAAATATAAGGTATAAAATTAATTTGTTTTATAAAATGTTTGCAAAATAGATAAAATAGCATAAAGAACTCATGTCATAAGACCTTTTGTCGCACTTGTCCATTATAAAACTCGCTCCTTCGTCGCTCGTTTTATAAATTGTCCGCGTGCGACAAAATGACGTCTTACGACATTAGTTCTTTAATATACTATTAACCAATATGCAAAATATTATGCTGTTTAAAGTATAGCCAACCTATAAAATCAAAATTTTGGGAGGGATAAAGTATCTCATTACAGCACCGAAAACTGTGTTATAATGAAGTCATTATGAACGCAAAATAGATGGTTTTCGAAATAAGAATTTTTATTTTTTTTCTTTGTTTTTCGAAGGCAGCTTTACAATTTGGGTCGACTATTGAAAAAATATCCCTTTTTGGACAAAAATAAGATTTAAATGCAACATTTACTTTTTCACGACGAATGAATAAAAATCTTTGATATATGACCATTTTTTATTTATCTACATGGAGTTTGCACTTTTAAGAAGAAAATAAGGTATTTAGAAAAAAATCCATCGACAAATGACAAAGTTACAGTTGTCAGTTTATGTCTAAGTCTAGGTTTTAGTAGAGTCTACTTAGAAAACATTTTAAACAAAGTTTCAGAAAGATTGACAGTCTTTTTTTTTTGTTGACAAAAATTTACATGCCAATTCTACATTCATCGACTTCTTCTTGTCATGTTATAAGATATGCGTTAATGAAATACATGACGTGACAATAAAAATTTAATGAATTTTTTTGTCTGTGGAAGTGCTATATATATTTTTATCTATTATGCGTTTATAATGACTTCATTGTAACACCGCTTTCGGTGCTGTAATGAGGTACTTTACCCCACCCAAAATTTTGATTTTATAGGTTGGCTACTTTAAACAGCATACTATAGTAAAATAATATTTTGCATATTGCTTATAATATTTTTAGGATTGTTCTAGTTACTTATGAGACTTTTGCGGCATAAATTCTGTTTAACACCAAAGAAAATCCTTTTTTTCTTCTTTAACATTAACAGTCGCTTATTGTAAATAAGTAAATTAAGGACGCCATGGCGAATCGATTTTGACATAAACCCTTCAAACCAATGACTGTGATACCAACTATCTAAAGTAAAATTCGACCAAATTAAATATAAAGTATAAAATTATTTTTTTTATAGAATTTTTGCAAAACAGATAAAATAGCATAAAGAACTTATGTCATAAGACCTTTTGTCGCACTCATCCATTATAAATTGTTAAT